AAAGATACACTGAAATTATATGCTGTCTTGTTTAGTTGCCTGTTTCATATAAAAAGGTACGCAAAGGCCGTCGGGTTTTAAAGCCATTATAAAATCAATATTTAAAACAAACTTACCTTCGTTAACGTCGGCTCCCTTCTTTTAGCTGATTCTTTCGCCCTTTCTTTCTTGAAATTTACAAAATCTTGCAGAAATACGAGCAAAAATGAAGAATATTTGCAAGAAATTTATCAATCATCAACTCATCAAATCAAGAAATGTTTGTTTGGCATGTTTGCTATTTCGCTGTCGTCATGCAGCCGTTATAATGCAAACTTTAAATTGGACCAATCAGTGTCCGTTATTCATGACAGTCCGCCATATTTTTGAGATCAGTGAGGATGACCACCCATCGTTGGTGACCGACGCCCGCGCTCATTGATGAACTTTAGACTTCGTTAATGCTTTCGTTTCCCCGGGGGTGAATAACCGGGGCGAATTAGTATCCTCTCACGGCGCTTCACGCCGCCGGCTCGGGGATAAATGTAAATACTTTTTTCGATATCTCAGTACAGTATATGAATAAAATAGAATGTCTGCCATATTAATCTTCACTCTTTTCTGCATGGCTTATTTTTTTAATTTTATTGGCTTAACTATAACAATTGTAAATGGAATGCGAATGGCAGTTGTGTAAATTGTTAGCTGAATTTTGTTAGCTGGACTCCTTGAACTTTGAGTTTATGTAGTTAAATTAGGGATAACTCCAAAAGTGTAACAGCTCAAAGGAACTTTTCGCATTCAAGGTATGTATATTTATGGTTTTTTTTCAAATTCTCGAAACTAAAGGCGAAGAACAATGATGTTTTAAGCGAGTTTATTTCAAGGGGTTTTTAGTCAAGCAACGCCAAACAGTGATTTTTGCATATTTAATGAACTAAAGTTAACTCTTTCTCGCAGCGCGTGAATTTATTTGCCCAAAATAAATGATACATTTCTGAAAAGAGCAGTTTTCCAATAGTGCTTGTGCAAAATCTCATAAGATTTGGAAGGATGGCAAAGGGAGAAATCTGTCACTTTTTACATGCAATGACAAACAATAAAGATCAGTACCCGTCCCTCTTTATTGTGCACAAATGTGTCCAGTTGTTTAGTTATCATAAAAACGAGGGAGTGATGTATCTTTAGCAAAAAGTATAATAAGGCTATTTGGATTTAGGGTTTGGATACCAGGATTAAGTAAACATATGCAATATCGGCCATTTTTCGATTGCGAAAATCGGTCCTCACAGCTGAAACAGTTTTTGCCTTTTTTTTCATAAAAAAGAGTATTTTTAAAAACTAACCGCATAACGTTTCACACTTCACCATAGTCAACTTAAATTCAAAAGTAGAGCGAATTTAAAATTTTGAGCCTTGCAACATATTTCTCATTTTGTTTGATTTTTGAAGACAGTCGCTTTTCTCATTTTATTCAATTTTTGAAGACAGAAGATTTTTGAAGACAGATTGGTTCTGTGACACCTTGGATGTATGGAACTATTGCATAACCCTTAACAGAGGTATCACCCTGGGAGTTATTTTGGTTCCTAAAAACATGTGACCTCAGGCAATCATTAAGAAAACGTTTTGGGTAATCGTTTTCCCCTAAAATATTTAGAACATATTCATGTTTATTAGCTTGAGAATCACTCTTTGACGGCAAGGATTTAGCTCTTTGAAGCAAACTTTTTGCTACGGATCTTTTATGGCTTACTGATTGATGAGAGTTGTATGACAAGTATTTGTCTGTGTCTGTGTGTGTGTGGGTTTGCGATAAACATCAGTCTCTAACTTCCCTTCTACAGTTCTGTGCACATTCAAATCTAAAAAAGCTAAATGTCCATTTATCTCACGTTCTACCGTGAATTGGATGGACGGCTCAATGGAATTTAAATGTTGCAGCAGAATATCGATTTTATTTCTAGAAACCGCAGAGATGACATCATCAACGAAACGTTTTCAAAACGATAGAGATACCGGAACAAACGCTAAAGTTCTTTGTTCGACATCTTCCATTACTAAATTGGCAATTACTGCCGATTCTGGTGACCCCATCGCTGTTCCAAAAACCTGTTGATAATAACAGCCCTAAAACACAAAGTATGTAGCGTTGAGACAAAAAGACAAAAGATTTAATAGCATGCTAATGAAGCGTGAGATTGTCCCCATGGGCCGAGAATACTAATGCAGTATTAAACAAAGAAATTAATTTTACAAGTACTAGTTAAAATATTCGCAACTGATCTTTATGGGCATTTAACAATGGCTCGACTTACGCGCTCGCCATTGTAAATACCTATTAAGATCAGCTGCTCATATTTTAACTGTTACTTGATTCAAAATACTTATTAATAATTCATGAACCTTGTGGCAAATTATGTCAGCCACAATATGTCACAACTCATCTTCATCTTCATTAGTAAATTCATCTTCATTCATCTTCATTATAAAACTCATCTTAATTAGTATTCTTTATTTAATTGTTCATCATAATTAGCATGATTATATAATTGTTCATCCTAATTAGTATTCTTTTGTAGTCGTATTTTAAGCTATTCAAAACATATCATATCGTGTTACCTGTTTACGGTTTAAATAGTACATAATTGATAAACGAACAGACATTATATCAAGTCATGACTTTTCGTCATTATTTTATATAATGTTATTAACATTAACATGTTATATAACATATCATGAATTTCGATAAAATGATTATATCATATCATGACATTTCGACAAAATCATTATATGGTATCATAAGCATTTCTGTAAGTTTGATTTGATATAATGCTAATGCGTTGCATGCACTATATGATATCAAATAATATGTATCAGTATAATATTATGTAAAGGAACTTTTTCATTATATGATGTAATGAAACAGCGTCGAAAAAGTCATTATTTGATATAATGCAATAGCGTAGTGCGCTATCTGTTCAGAAATTAAAGCTGTCCAGAAATCTATTGTCCTCATAGTAACTAAAACTTGCGGTAACTAAAAACTTCCGGTTCATGGGCCGAAGGCCGAACAAATCAACCTCGCTACAAACTAATATCCTATTACGATTAATCCTCCTCCATCTTGCGCTTTCAATTCAACAGCTAAGAAGCTTGCCATCAATATTTTAAATTTAAAAAGACTGAATTATGGCGAGTGTGGAACGTGGCTGGGAAGAAGCAACAAATAGAGTTGTGCAAGGAGCAGTTAGGTCCGTACTGACAGCAAAAAGGGCTATTCCATTTAATATCCTCCCTATAAAAGGTAAAGTACGATGTATACAAGCAATAGCAGTAAAAGTCAACGCGCTTTCGCTCGAAAAGTCGAAATTCTCCTTGTATTTTTCAGGTAGTTGTGTCCCTATCAATCCGAAGCTTTCGAACATATTTTCCCCATCATTTTTATGTTTTTTCAATCGATTTCAGTGTAAAAAGTATCAAAATTTAGATGAGAAATTCCGAACACTTTGTTTATATTTTGCAACAATATATTGCCGAGCATGCGTAGAATTCAAGTTGGAAATCCCGCAACGTGAATCAATTCGATTTCTCCAGAGCTAGGACCACCCTTAATTTGCGAACGGGCATGCTCTGGGAACGAGATTGGTAAAAACCCAATGTTTTGAAAAATTAAAAATAAATGTTTCTACCGGCCGTATTCAAACGAAGTTTTCTACACGAAAGCGCCTGAATACAAGGAGTATTGCACTTACATTAACCAGCGGCGAATTGTGAAGAGTTCAAGAGATATTCAAGATTAACTCGATATGAAATGCAGTATGCTTTTGTAATGTTATGACGGCATTTGACCACCACGACCCTCCCTTTCCAAAGGTTGTTTTATTAGGATTTCAACGGTGGTTTCCGTTCTAAAGGCTGGGGTATTTACTCATGGAGCAATTGAATGAAAAATATAAAGATATGTCAATCAGTTTCAAAAGTCTTGGGACAGATGCCACAAAACTTTGAATTTTAACAAACGTCAATTCCCCTCCCCCTGTTCAATGTTGTGTCCCATTTCTCGTCAGCTTTGATGTGTTTTGGTTTGAGCAACATTGATTGGGGTGGAGGGAGGGGGAGGGGAGCGGTATTGTGCGTAAAAACTGTAGTGATCCACTTACAATCTAAAACTACATGTGTCCCAACAACTTCTGAAAGTGATTGAAGATATGTCACATGCAGGTACTAACCGTTGCACACACATTTTAGTAAAACTATGATAATATTCTTGCCATGGTTGAGCACAAGCTTGTGTTCTTGTGCCGTAAACAAGCTTTATTATTAAAAAGGTTTACGCAGAAAATAAACGTTGTCCGATTTTGCCGAAGCATACTGTATGCCATAAACAAATAACAAAAATGCTAATTACGGTTGCATTGAATACAGTGATTTCAACTAAGGCTGTCTCCGAGAATTTGAATACGAGCGCGAAAGCTCGCTTGGAATCGCTAAAAAATTAATGAATTTTTTAGCGATTCACAGAAAGCCTCTGGTATTTGATTTTCCACTTTGTTCGGGGATTACCTTAATTGAATTAGCTGAATACAATGACCTAACATATTGTACGATCAACTAAATTTAATTCAAGACAAGACAGATGCTCATGCATGCTGAAAACAATACTATATGCTTTACTTACTGAACAACAAAAACTTTCAACAAACCTGTCCATATATAAAATGAATCGAGGACCTTTTCCGGTTGAATAAAATATAGTAAGAAATCGTGCTTTCTGTCATCATGAATGCTGACTAAATTTGCACCATAGCCAGCACAAAAGTACTGGGCCGCTGCCCACTGATGTGGTGTTGAGAAATACTTGTAACAGTGTTTACCATAATATATCCAACCATCCGGACAGCTCCCATTTACTAGAATAAAAAGTTAAGTTGCTTGAATGATTGTTAAAATCCATAAAATGTAATTAAACTGAATTTCGTTCAATAAAGAAGGGAATACCGCATAACCAGCAAAATAATCGATCTATCAAACATTAAAATGCCTGAACGGCAACAGTTGACAAGTTATATTGGGTATAGCGTGATGGTTCAAATACACGAACATGCAGACAGACTCAGAAATTAAAAAAAGATGTATATTTGCAGAAACCTATGTAAGAAAAAATTTTGTGTGGTGTCGTATCTAGTAGCAGGGAGGTGTAGGGGATCTACACAGAAACGTTTTGTAGTTATCCGCCTTTACTACAGTACAAGTATTTCGTATGTTTTCTGAAAGATAGCTTTAGATATACATGCAGCGTTGCGTTATACATCAGATAGACTAACCTAATTTACTTGAAATTATATGTTACGCTTGTATTCATGTTATACAGAGAAAGGGACTATAACTGGGTGGAAAAATGTGGAATGTGCCACCATGGGGGCAGTGGGTGGGGGGACTTTGCCCCACCCAGTTATTTAGTTAAAAAGTGCCCAGACTATATATTATGTAGTGAAGTCATGATGCTGTAATTAAGAAAAAACTAAAAACCACGCAGACAGGTTTTAATGAAAACTGGCAAAAACATATAACGTATAAAATATCAACTAACGAAAATATTCTGTGATACTGGAGTGCCGAAAACGTTTGTGACGACGCTATGTGCGGAATAACATTAACTTACATGGAATGGTGACTTTTGGTTCTCCTAGAGAAAATAACAAAAATATATAGTACAAAACATAATCCGAAGATTGGCATCTTGAAACACAAAATCTGAGTCAAACCAGACTCTGGTGAGTATAATGTTTCGATTTTATTACAAAATCATTACCAGACTAACTATAGATACAATATTTAACAATTATTGGCCGAAGGCGAAGTGATTACCGGTGATTGATACGTTATTATAAGTAATAGCATGGCTTGAGGGAGATTAGTGATTAAATGACCCCGTAACCCGAAGCAGTGAAATATAGTTCAGATCCATCGAACTATATACATGAGATTAAAGGACATAACCCCGCTAACTGCATTTCTGTCGACCTTTAGACCAATAAACCTAAGGGGTCCGAGATAGAATATGTCCCCTCGTTTCTGCTATCAAATGTGATGTCACTGTCTCCAAAAATAGACGAACTACATGAAGTAGTACGCTGTGGGAATTATGAATTTGTCAGTCTGGTGGAGACTTGGCTACAGAGTCACATTCCCGACAATGTTATCAATATACAAGGATATAACATATTTCGTAGAGACATGGTCGAAGGCACCCATGGTGGTGTTTGTGTTTATATTAAAGATTCCACAGCTTTTACAGTGCTTGATGAACTCTATAACAATTCATTTTAAATACTGTGGATCAACGTCCGACCCAATAGACCACCCAGAGGAATTACTAACCTGATAGTTGGCACAGTATACCACCCTCCCAGAGCGTACAATTAGTCAGACATGTCGGACTATCTTTCAAATTGTTTGTGACTATCAGAGTCGCGTTTTCCCAACCACAGCCTTATTACCCTTGGTGACTTTAATAAGATAAACGTGTCGAGACTAAGATCGTGTTATACTCTGAAACAACTCGTAAACTTCCCCACACGTGGGAATAATACGCTCGATATAGTCCTAACAAACCTTAGCACTAATATTACGACAAACCTACCAAATGTGCCCCGTTTGGGTTATCCGATCAGGAGGTGGCATGGAGGCATGTGCCCCCAACCCCACTTTTTTAAAAGTGAAAATAGTGCCCTTTTTCTGGGCTAATGTTCCCCATTTACAGAACGAAAAAAATATTTCTTTAACGCCCTCTTTTGACCTTTTTGCCGTAGTAAAGAGTAAGGACTCTGTAAAGGCCATTTCCGACGTTATAGAGTCTCCATATTTTTAAAAATTTTCCTTCGGCTCGTGAATGACATAAAATCGTTTGATTTTGGGCATATACAAAAGTACTCTTTGGCCAATGCCCCTCCACATTCGAAATGCTTCCGGGGCCTCTGATTAAACCAATTAAACAATCACAAGTTCAAGGAACATCAAGAAAAGTCCTTGGCATTCAAACAAAGTTTTCAACACCCTACTGGCACCAAGGTAATGCTACAGTTGAACGATTTATGTGATCGTTAGGAAAAGCGTTCGAGACAGCGACACTTGAATTAGAACAAGAATTAAACGGTTTACTTTTACAATGTCGTGCCACTCCATATTGGACTATAGGAGTACCCCCATCAGAACTGTTGTTTAACAGAGTGATGAAAGGAAAATTACCAGTTATTAACAGCAAGAAGATTGTCAATCGACATAAAGAAGCTCGAGACAATGAACGCAACCGAGAATATGCAAATCAAAGGAGAAACACAAGAAAAAGTGATCTACAAGTTGGAAATTATGCATTGGTTAGACAAGAAAAGAAAAACAAGCTCACAGCGAATTTTAATCACAAACCTTATAAAATAATAAAGGAAACTGGTTCACAGATAATTGCCCAAAGTACAGAGTGTCATATTGTGAAAGGAACGTGTCACATTTCAAGCGAATAAATAAGCCACAAGAAGAAGACACTGATGATAAACGTTTCGATTATGAAGAAAACTCGCAGGACAATCAGCATCCATCAGTAATGAAAACAATCTAGTATACGAAGAAGATTAAGCCGAATTAGAAGACCACCGAATCGATACGGACATGAATATCCATCAAATCTAATAAACTAACATAAGAATGAAATAGCTGAAAAACTTCAAATTTAAACACTTTGATATCTGATAATCGGGTTAGAACAAAGGGAATGGTATATATAGTATAATGTCCGTCTATTAATCGTTAACGCACGTATTACGATTTGTTTATATTTACAATATTGACATTATATGTTCAGTTGTTTGCATGTAGCCGAGATATCAACAAGACTATTATAAATATCAGAACATTATAACAGTGTACATACATCTACATTATATTGTTTATTTATATATCTGTCTAAAGCTAAACAGCAATTTTACCACTCTTTTTTCAACTCCTTTGGTTTGAAATATACAAAGTTAATAGAAATTTTCAATGGCGCTTTTGATCGTTAACATAATCTTGAAAACTGTAGTATCTTACTGTGGCATTCGCATTGTCACAACTAGCTAATTCTATACAAAAGAGTTCACGTTTCACATTATAATACCATTATCAAAAGGGATACCAAAAATTGTAAAAAATTCAAGTTCCGGCCATGAGCATTACAATACTTTACATTAAAATGTAGAAATTGCAATAATTTCAGCCGTGATTCGAAATAGGTCCGTTGTAGTGTAAATAATATCATAATAATTCCTACCAACTATGTATTAAAATAGATTAGGCTTGCTAGGAGACAAAGATATTTTTTCCGGGTAGTCAAAAGCTTGTTTCAATAAGAAGTACTATCAGAATATTCTATTATACTTTCCTGTTTCAATAAGAAATGCTATCAGAGAGCTATCTGACCCATTATTATGCGGTATGCTGACCGAGCATTTGCATATTCGTAATAAAATATATGTGAGAATTACCATGATAAATTTCACAAACAAATGGATTGGTCTTGCGGCAGTCTACATCATCCCAAACGCCGAAATGGGAGCCAGTGGCGTTTGCTTGAGTACAAGATCGCTGACTAAGTTGACGGCTTGGTTGTCCAGGTCCCCAATACGTGTGTGCTACAGTTCTGTGATCGACAAACTTGAAAACGGAATATGGTTCGTGAAGGAAACCAATCCATACATTGCCAATATATCTTTCCAACATATAGATAAGGTAAGCTGTAAACATTGAAAACGATAAATATTCTTATTTGACTAACTCTTTTAGTTAATTTTAATTAATTATATGGTCGACATTTCTGGAAGCACAGTTTCAAATTTAAACTTTAAATATGTCTAAGCCATAATTAAAGATACATAACTAAGTATTTTTTATAATATAAATCAAACAACTACAGGATATCAGCTATTGCGCAATCTAGTTGCTATATATATATATATATATATATATATATATATATATATATATATATATATATATATATATATATATATATATATATATATATATATATAATATAT